ATCCGACTATATAGGACCTTTAACTTCGACAGGCTTAGCAACCAGCAGTGAATAAAATCTTGCTCAGAGAAACTATAAGAAAAGAAAAAGGATTGATACCCCAGAAAACTACCACTGACCACTATTGGACTGAGACAGACAAGCTAATACAATTTGCACGATCAACATGTAAAGTAAAGCAAATCAACAAGAAGACCTCTTAGAGAAGATTAATAAAAGGAACATACAATTAGTATGGACAGTGAACTCGCGAATCAAAGAGAAAAGTAAAATCGAAACAACAGAAATGAAAAGTCTGCAGCGAATTGTAAATGTTACTAGGAGAAATAGGACAAGGGATTACAATACCAGGAAAGAAGTAATCACGGAACCAGTACTAAACTACACCAAGAGAGCCAACAGATCAAATGGTTTGGTCATGTGCCAAGACTACCAGCAGCCAGTCCTCCATAGAGAACACTGTCACTTAGATACTCTTGAAGCAGAGTAGAGGTCGCTTATGCAAGCTATAGATAGATAAAATAGCTGAGGCCGTAAATACGTTTATTTTTTTGAGACAAAGCAATGCTGGCAACCGATGCCTCTTCAAAACCTAACGCTGAAAGGCTGAACAGAACAAGAGAAGAAGAAGTAGTAAACACTACGCCTGCTGTCTTTGCTTCCAAAGATATTTCCCTGTACCCATTTTAGACTAGGTCGACCTGGATCATTGCATAAAAGTCGACCTTGCTGCCGATTCGAACCCAATACATTTTAGCCGCCAGACAAACGCTTAGTCACTACGCTAACGCGGTTTCCAACATCAAAATAGAACAATAGCTAACCCAACCAAAATCACAACATTGCGGTAAACAGGCATAACGCAATTACAGATAAAAACAAATAGAACAAAAATATAGAACCAACGAAAATAAAGTCGATATCATTAACCCAATCTAAATGTCATATTTATTTTCATATTCAGATTTTCATGTCACGCATTTTTGCATGAAACAAAACCTCAGAAATACAAGACAGGTACTGTAAGACTGCCTATCAAACCATACGTTTTTGTTACACAATATTAATTGTATTTTGACCAATGCATTTAACGCCGCATTCTGTCTAAAGACTTTTTACAAGAAAATAAAGTTAACAACTAAGTAGGCTTGAGCATGCTGTGGGATACTCAATCCGATTTTAACTCTGCTTGTGTTAAAAAAATAACTGTACTCAATTGGTCTATGATTGGAAATCCGTGTTGTCTGACAGATCTTTGTTACAATTATCTTTGATCTGAAAGTCGGTCTGTGTTTCATTGAATTACCGGATTTTACGAGCATAACTAACACTTGTACTGGTGTTGAGTTTCTCATATCGAGGTAATCTAGCATTTGAGCATAGACTGCATTCATCAGATTATGTGGATTGTTAAGATATCCAAACTTTGAGCGAGGGTTGTTCTAACCCAGGTAGCGGTGGACTCCTAGAATACTACAAGCCATCAGAAGTAGCTTCCAGAAAAGAAAATGTCACGTAGTTAGGAATTTTGTACAAGAAAAGTTATGCCGTTTCGGCTATTTTCGTCATCACTATTATTATTTTGCATAATACATTATGCATCGCAGACTATATTTCTATTGCTTTCTATTCTGTGCAGATTAATTCAATATCATGGGTGAAATCCAGCCATCCAACCCAGCATTTTTGTCTTCTTTCATAAACATTCCTCCTAAGATTTTTGTGTGTAGATATCTATGCATCCTAAGTCCATCTGTTTCTCTATTGAAGTGCTCTTCCTTTGGGTACTTTGCTGTTCACTTTCATCCAGGATTTGCCCAGTATATCACCATAATCAACATCATCATCAAGTGCCATACCAGCTGGCGTAAGCGTTCATTCATCTCCACAGATCTTGGTCTTTAGCGTTCTGGACCAACTCCACTGATGATATTCTTCTATGCCCCTGTATTAAGCCATGCCATATCATTTCTCTTGGTCTTCCTCTGCCTCTTTTACCAGAGATTTTCCAGTCTTCGCAATATTTTCCAGTGCTCCTTTCCTCATCGCATGGCCAAAGAACTATCATAATGCAACCAGTTATTCAGGTAACGTATATACAGTGAAGACTGGATGCAATAAATCTCTAACACCGTCTATCTCGTGCCCTTACTGTACACTTTCACAAACTTGCAGTTCGTCCCTCATTCTACTTGCACTGATGTCTACCCGTTGCTTAGTTACCATCAAAATTTTCTGCTTTATAGTTGTTATTATTATTAGTGTGCTTGCAATTTTATGTTCTTGTTTTATGTTAATTTAAAATATAAAAAAAAAAAAATCTTCCACTGAATATTTTGCTCATGCTTAAAGTTTAATACTGAAGGCTGGGCCAAGAGGATGGTCTTCGACAATCCTTTGTGGTCCAGTCTCTCCACCGAGGGGATGTCGTCCTTGTGTGTCGTTTAGAAGTTATGAATGCAATTTCATAATTCCGACACCCCTGGTTCAGGTCAACTTTATGTTGATTTTGACAACGGCATGTTCCCCTTACCACTCAGGGGCGGTGGCACACTACTGAACATAAAAATTTTCCAGTAAAACCACATTCGCCAACAAATACTTAAATTTGTTTGATATTTGTTATCGTCATCACGTGCCCTGTCAATTGGCTTAGGCGCTCATGAATCTACGCAGATCACGATCCCTGGTTACCGGTCACAGCTCTTTTGATGATATCCCTCCTTACCATTGTTTCAGCACATCCAGCATCATCCTTCTTGAAATGCCTCTACCTCTCTTTCCACTGATCTTTCCAGTTGCCACGATGTTTTCCAGTGCCTCTCTTATCATTACGTAGCCAAAGAACAGGGTTTGTCTCCTTCTCATTGTTGTATATATAGATCCACTTTTTTTTAGCTTCTTTCAAACAATCGTTGTTAGCTACTCTGGCCGTGCAAGGTATTCGTAAAATTCGTCTCAGAAACCACATTTCTGTTGTCTTGGATTCGCTGCCATACAGTAGAACAGGTTCTATTAAACATTTCAGCACTTTCTATCTGACATTAAATGAGAGCGACTTATTGCAGAAGAAATTTTTATTTTTATTTTCTGAAATACTGCCTTTGCTTGACCTATTCTGCTTTCAAGTTCTGTCATAAATTTTCTATCTGATGATGATTGCTCCCAGATATTTAAATTTTTTGACTTGGTTAAGTATTTTTCCTTCAATTGACCAAAAAAAAAAAAAAAAAATGTCTTACGAAGTATAAAGGATATGTAACGAACTTACAATAAATAGTTAACCACTGGTCCAATATGGCAGACAGCCAGTTGGTCGCTGACGATATGAACGGTCATATGGTTCAGGCCACAGCTTGCTGATGACAATTCTCTGTTTCTGGACCGAAAGTACCAACGTTCAGTTGCACAGCTTCTCAGGTGAGGGTTGGTGCGACACTGTGAGCTGTGGATTTCATGTAGATTTGTTCCTCTTTAGTCTCCGGGACAACCTTTTGTTGTGATCTATGTCGCCGGTTTTCTTAACTGATTACTTGCATCAACAATGAGCTGCAATTCTTGTGATGGACAGTTAGGGCTGACAAATCTCATCGCTGCATTATAGATTTACATTGCGTGTGCCAGCTTCCTCATTTTGCTGGGACTGATGTATGTTTCACTACTCTTTCAACTAGGATATCGAGGAACACTGTGTGATTTCTGGGGGCACATGAAAGGAACACTAAATGAGGGAACCAGTCGCTAGGGAAGTTGAAACCTTGACCAAAGACTACTGAACAGTGCGCTCTAGGACTCTATTAAGATTAACTCCTAGTCCCAGCTAGTTATCACTTTGGCACAATATATCCAACTATCTGATATCTGATATATTGCGGAACTCCGCTACGTAGTTGACACAGTTCTCCTTTCGTACAGCGTAAAGGGAATAGAAAATTTAAAATTGTAGGTCCAAAAGCACAGTGAAGATCAAATCTGTTCTTGAATTTAAATAAAATGAAAATAATGTGCACAGATAAAACTGGCTCTCACCCAAAAATAACAATAAACGATGAAGGGAGATTGGCTAATAAACAGCATCCTTTCTCGAAAGCTGAAATATTAAGCGCCACGACGGATTGGAAGAAAATTATAGCGAAAGGCATGGTACCAGGAAGGAGGGGCAGGGGCCGACCGACACAAAGATGGGCACAGGGTATAAGTGACTTCTTGAGTGTGAAAGTGCATGAGGCGGAAGAACTGGCGAAAGACCAAGTTTCTTTCAGGCAGACTGTGATGAGAGCGACGTTCTGCAAAGGACCTGCTACGTGATGATCTGATATCTGAGAGCAGCACTCTTCAGCTTTGTAAAACTGAGAAATACGATTTGTTTTGGTTTGCCTTAAAAATTTTTTTTTTTAACTCAAGCAATTATAGTATCAAATTGTGTAGACAGGGTAATACAACAGAAAAAATTGGATAGCAAGAATAGAGAAGTTTTTAACGTACACGGAGTAACCAAATTAACATATTGTATGTGAGTATTCTGGAACTAAGAGTGCCGACAAATTGAATCTAAAATACAAAACGTAAGTGGAGAAGCAATCCTAAAATTATCAAGGGGAAGAAAGGAGGATGGCTCAAGGCATCTATTCCTTGTTTAAATGTTCGCATGCAAAAAATATTTATATGACATGATTAAACAAACAATAATAGGTTTTTTTCGTGAATGGAGGTTTGGGAGGGAGGGAGGGAAGTGTTTAGTCCACTTTCAATGTTTTATTAGGGGCGTCGAAGGGATGGGGGAGGGGGGGGGGAGTCCCTGTAATATTATTTAGGTGGCCTGGGGTGGCTGTGGGATCCCAAGGAGCTTTAGCACACAGGTGCCTGTGCCCAGTACTAAAAGAGTTAAACACGTTCTTATTCTTACTGGATATGATTTATTATTTGTCATTACAGCAAACAGAAGTTCTACATGCCAACGTATTTCCCATGGTTGAGTTTGCTGTAAGGAGAACTAAAGGATGTCACTCTTATTACCGACAGTGTTATTTGTCTTGCTGGTACACTTCACAAGAACCCAAAAGGAATTACAAATCGGTCTGCTGGTTCCCTTGAGTGGGCAAAAGAGCATGGGAGAGGAGGTTGTAACCGCAGCCCACCTCGGTATCCGGAACATCAACAATGACTCGAGCCTTTCAAGTGTCCGGTCGCAAGGTTACCACTTCAACCTCATGGTCAGTGACACTGGATGCAACACGGGTCAGGGATTGCAGCGAGTGGTGGAGTTGGTGACCGGTGTTAATCACAGCGGACATAAGGTGGATGCTCTTATTGGTAAATTGTGTTTTATCTCTGTGTGTGAGGTGTGTGTGTGTGTGTGTGTGTGTGTGTGTGTGTTTATGTGTGTGTGTGTGTTATCGAATTCATTTGTTGTGGCCGCATTATAGTCGTTCCCTGTCCCTGTTTTCTTTTCCGAGGCTGATACTTGCGTTTATTATTGTTGTTTTTGTTTCTCTTCTTTTTATCTGCATCCTCACTCGTCTCCCTCCTTCCCTTCTTCTTCTTGTTCTTGTTGTTGTTGTTGTTGTTGTTGTTGTTGTTGTTGTTGTTGTTGTTCTTCTTCTTCTTCTTCTTCTTCTTCTTCTTCTTCTTCTTCTTCTTCTTCTTGTTCTTGTTCTTGTTCTTGTTCTTGTTCTTGTTCTTGTTCTTCTTCTTCTTCTTCTTCTTCTTCTTCTTCTTCTTCTTCTTCTTCTTCTTCTTCTTCTTCTCCTTCTTCTTCTTGTCTTCTTCTTCTTTTTTTGTGTGTGGATAATTTTTACTTGTAACATATCCCTTGATACTTTTTCTTGTGGTGCATATAATTTGTTCTATGTCATTGTTCTCAAATTCGTCTGTTGATGATTACAGTAGGTATCTTGTAGGAGTTATATCTTTATGTGTCTTGAAGAGAAGAGTTGGTGGTCAGCTTTGCCATCTCTCACGATCACCAGTATCACGGATCAGGCTAGTGCTGTTGACCCGAACCATCCATTTAGCTAATCCATCAGTATATTTATCTCATTGTCTTACCATTACTCTGTTTACATCAACCTCACCTTCTTTTAACACTTTCAAAAACACTGTCTAATTTCTCTAATAAATGTGCATTTGTCGCTTGTCTCCAGGAGAACTGGGTCATTTGTTATTCTGTCATTCTATGATATTCACTGCATTATTCACAAAACCACATCTGAGCTCCTTTTTTTTCCAGGTTGTCCATATCTCGCCTTGCAGTTGGCAGTCGGACAACTTTGCTTTACGATGATTGAGTTTTAAAATGACATAGAATATAATGTCTTTTTCAGTAGCTGGCATCTTTTGATAAGCTTTATTTGTTGCGTATCTTTTTAGGAAACTTATAAACCAATCCTAGTGAATTCGCTAACATGTGCACATTAGTTTCTCTATTAATGAATATATATAACCTATGACATAACACTGCAAGAGAGATAGATTTTCACATGTTCCTTGTTGGATTGTTGCATAGAATAACATTATTGTGATTTAGGAAGATAGCATAGCGTTACATTACGCTTTGTAGGAGAATACAGCGCAGCATAATATTGTTGAACATTCAGATACAAGGTGTGTAAATAGACAGTGTAAATAGAGTCTACTGGGTGGTTCATTCCAAACAAACAGTGAACTGAACTCACATTCAAGTGCGAGAATTCTGATAGAATAACTGCTGATGGAGACCGCGAGAACAGATGTGGACAGACAAGGCATTGTAAGATTTGATCCTGGCTTAAAGTTTTATGGTGAGGTTGTGAAGGTTCGGAGCATACAGAACACACTCTCATTGTGACGCGTGCGTGTATAATCTGTGAAGATATCTGTGTAGATGTGTGTTTGCACCGAAGTGCTCCAGATTGCATTTTCTGGGAAAGTGTGCAGTTACGTAGGCTGGAGATTCGAAAAAAAAAAAAAAAACAACAGTTGGACAGCCGAGGAGCAGCTGGCCGAACGGCTAGAACACTGGGCTCCCAAGCGGGAGACCCGGGTTGGAATGCCCGGTAACGCTAAGGATTTTTTCTATTGTGGACAAAATACAATCCTCACCTGCACAGTTGTAGTGACAGCACTAGCCATGCGGCTGTATATCCTCGGGTTAAACCCCCCCCCCCCCCCCCTTCCCCCCTTGCCTACACCGCAAAGTAGTATAATAAAGGCATTAATTAGTAGTTAATAGTTAGACAACTTACGATGACTATTTTTTTTTTAGAAAGAGATAGAATATAAATGTATATTTCAGTAGCTGACATCTCCTCATAACGCTTCTTAGCTGCGTATCTTTTTAGTGTACGTTTAGTAGTTATCCGTTAATGAATATATCGAACCTATGACACAAGACCTGCAAGCGAGATAGGGGAAACATTTTATGACCATGTATCTTTCCCTTGACAATTTATGGATGTGAGTTAAGAGTTCTTGCTCATACACTGAAGAAAAATCTGGGAGCTTTTAAAATGAACTGCTACATACAAATTCTTAGAATATCATGGACCGTGAAAAAGGAAAACATATATTTTCAGAAAGCCGGGGTATTTTGAACATTGTTAAACATCCTGGTTGCAGGCCTGAAGATAACAATCGATGGAAGGTACATTTTCCCGAAAATGAAGCAGAGGAGAGGAGGTAGTAACCGCAGCACACCTCGGTATCCAGAACATCAACATGGACGTCGACACAAGACACCGAAGATGAACTGGCTTTGAAGGCACATAGGACTGCATCATTGGTTGTAGAAAGATTGACTAAGATAGACAGATGAGCTGTATCGAACGCTATGTTCTGTGAAGGATCTGCTGATTAATAATGATGTTATCCACTGTTTACTGGACGGTCGGCTCTCCATACCATCGTCAAAATCCACGCAGAACGGTCGTTTGCCAAATCGCCATAAGCTGAATTGATCCGGATATTTCAGAATTCCTATGCGCAATAACAAACGCTAGACCACACTCACCAAAATCATAATTTAATCGCTACTTTACACATATATAATTTACTTTTTAACATTGGCTAAATCCATTCTTCTCTTACATTGACTTATTTTGTCCCATTTGTTATATCATAAAATTCTCTTCTGTAACTGCAAGGTTTTGACTCATTTTCTCTTTTAGTAGCAAACTCATTATCATCATCATCATCATCATCAAGTGCTTTGTCGACTGGCGTGGGCGATCATGCCTCTAAACAATCCGCGATCCGCAACTACACGTATCAGTTTGTCTGTTGACAAATCTTTATGCCATGACAAAAAATTGTCAAAAATCTTCTAGCGCTGCCTTCATCTGTCTCTCTTTCCGTAGACCTTTAAGTGGTCACAACATGTTCCAGTTTCCCCTCTTCTCATAAAATAAAATAAAATTTAAAAAAATATTTAAAAAATAAATAAATAAAAAAAGTAAGTAAAGATCACTTTTTACGCCTTAGGCGCATGGGGCATATGAGAAGAGCATCCAATATTTTTACAGACCAATGTTTACTAGGTGGGTAATGTGTCATGGCATAACACTGGCCGTCTTTACTTCCTCATAACAGCCATTCTGGTACCCGTTTTAGGATGGGTGGACCTGCGACACCCAGTACCATGATAACAATACATGCAGCCAGCAGTAGGTTTCGATCACTGTACGTTGCAATTACAAGTCGAGATCGCAATGCCTAAGCCACGGACGCCACCTTTTCATAATATGACCCCAAACAAATTGATGACTGTCTCTTTCTGATATTTGTAAAATGGATATGCACGCAAAACTCAATTTCTTGATCAAGACCACTGTCGTGAAGTGATCTATTCACCCCTGCACATTCGACTATTCGTGACGTTAGCACCCCTAGCGGGCAGGTCACATTTCAAATTTAGACCCGTCCAGTAAGTATATAGTTCCTCATTTCTATTTATACCTCTATCTGGTGTAATAGATATTTCTATACCCTCTAGTTGTTTTGAAAAGTCTACATTTTCAAACTTGCAACTGTGGGATATATTTTTTCTGGATTAATATTCAGAATTCAGAGAAACCTTTTTACTCCGCGACGCATTAATATCGCGGGCTACTTTCTTTGAAAGTACGCCAGCGTACCGCGTCATTCTCTGTCTGACTGCCAAGAAGAACTGATGTTCTTAAATGTGCCTCGTATATCTATGCTTTGTGGAGGCGGCCTTTGGTGTCTAGGACATTTCCTAAGCTTGGTATGATATCTCCTTGGAGGCCAGGCAGTGAATCGGTGGTCCACAAAACCACCAACAGGGAAGTCATCTATGTCTAAGCCAGTGGTGGGCATCAGAATGTAAGCCAAACTTGTGTCATCCATCAAATGAAATCCTCCAGTTGGTCTACAGACAACATTATGGGTGTTGTACCTTCAACATCATTTATCCGGTAGCTTCTTTGTAGCTCAAGAGACGGACTTTGTGTCCGAGTATCCTCTCCAGGAGCTTGGGTGTACCTCCAATGTTCGAGTGTCTAGTGTGGGACTGTCTTCAATGTAACAACAGAGTGACTGAACATCCAGCAAGTCAAAGTAACCAGGGATTCAGATAAGTGTGGTCAATCTGTGGTTTATTGCCAGGCTTCACTGTTAATCGTCAACATGATCATGATGGTGATCTAGGCGGACTTCGGGAATCTCTAAGACAATCAGTCAGACCTGTTTTGAGGTTTTGGTCCTTCATATCACTCTGAGTTCTTGAAGTCAGTCCTGATTCGTATATAATGTATCTGTTGCACTTATTACATGTTTGGAAATTGTCATTACTGACTTGAGTGTCCATCATTAGTGTTCAAACTGTCTAGAGATATATATGTTTAACTATTAATCTTAATCTGTGTTAACATGGCTGTGATAGTACACTATCATAGCCTGGGAGCTATCTTTTTATAGTAGTGGGGGCGTCCAGCCAAGTTGCGCCTAAGATTATTATATATTCTGTAGTGCCATAACTTGAGTTGCCCTACTCCTGAAATAGATTGGGCGTATATTGGCCACGGGATTCCCCTTTAGACCAATACGAGCCGACGCCTCAACATAATTCTATTTCAGAGTGCTGTTGGTTTATAAGGAGAAATCCTTAAATCAGGCACGCGACACGAGCGGTATGTGACAACCACAGTAAACGAGCATTTAGAACCTTCCATTGGAGTTTACAGCCAGTGGAAGCTAAGAAGAAAGAAAAACATGTCTTATAATATTTTCAATCTATAGGGAACAAATATCTGGAGACATAACACATCCTTGCTACATACCTGTTTTGATTGGCTGGTACTGACCTATTGCACGTTGTT